CAGTAGTTTTGGTGTTTTGTGGTACTTCAACAGTCACAGTCACATCACCATCCGAGCCTGTGCCTGTAACAGTCTCAGTATCAGTTCCAGTCCATATGATGGTGGTGGTTCTGGAATAAGGACAAATAGTGGTGTTATCCGTTGAAGAATACCAGTTAATGTCGTTTGTGTGACTCGTGCCATCGGGATAAGTTGCATGCATCGTGATACCGGCAGGTCCGTATCCATTATAGTAAACAATCTTAATAGGATAGTACACTCCTCCTGTAAGGGAAACCGTCGTAGAAATGGCAGCCCCATCAGAATAGAGATTCAAATTTCCTGTGCGAGGAGCCAGTCCACAACAGTCCATAGCAACCCCTGCTCCAAGTGTTAAGGAAATTCCATTATCAATATAGGTTATACCGAAAGTGTAATTTCCGGTTGTGGGGGCTAAGAAATATCCAGAAAGTCTCATACCGAAGTAGTTAACGTTGACAGTATGCCCATATAGGTTTCTATCCACGGCGGTGGTTCCTTGTGTGTTGGTATAGAAATTTTGTGCCGTCACTCCTCCCCAAGTAGACCTTGCCACGGTTTGATCAATTGCTACAAGTGCATTTCGGACTTGGGCATGTGTGGCGGAGCCATACTGATCGTAAGTTGTTTCGATATATTGAGCAGTCAAACCTCTAGCCACTTGTGAGGGACTACATCCCCCAATGCTATCAGCAGCGGCTGCTGTACAGAAAAGGAGAACAACCACAAGAGAGGGTAATTTGAAGTCGATTTTCATTATTGTTTGACTTCAAAATTCAGAAAACCCAATATATATAATGTTCCATTTGATAAGATACCTTGCATTACCAATTACTATTAAAAGTATCAAGACCAGACTGGGTTAAAGTTTATGTGGTACTCTCAAAATACAGTACTCTCAAAATACAGTTCCTGCTTTTTAAGCAAGTCAATTCAATGCGGACAACAAGATAGAAGTTCGGTCCTCATTTTAGAAGGTGATGATCAAGTGAAGTTCGAGAATTTTGGTAAAGCACGTGTCCAGAAATCAATACCAAACAATAATGACCAATTTGGAACTCCCATATGTCGTTTAGGTGCTAGCTATTTTGCATCAGACATATTTTCCAATATGAACAAACCTTAATTTATCTTTAATCTTTTGATAAGCTTCTTGTGGCTACTGTTTTCCCAAATTGGTAATTTGGAGACGTGATAACAATTCATTCTTCACCATATATCCAAAGATGGGTGTTTCCTGAATACAATTGGTTGTTTGTAGAACAAAAATAAATCCCGCAGCTACGGTACCCGGCTACTTTCAAATTAAAATTCCATATAAAGCGCTCAGGCGTTTCATTTTGGAGGCTTACAGTCAAATTTTAAGTACTTGGCAGAACCACCGATATTCTTTAGTTGAGTCACTACTGTATTAGTTGCCAACAGTGCCTATACTAGTATACAGGCATAGGGAAGTATGGATCAGAACTCGTCACCATAATATCAATTGATATTGAAGTTATTTTCTGGTTGTCTTCTCGGTTTTGGAAGATTTGCTTCCTAACTCATACGCTTTTTCTTGTTCGATCTTGTTGATGTGGTTTTTTTTCTCTACAATAAATTATTTTCAAACTTCATTTTGTTTCCAAAACGCCTTAGCTGTACCGCAAATAACAAAATCGAAGGAAATGGTGGCGTAACTGAAAGCTTTACGGGGTGAAAAGCTAAAATCCGGAGTCAATGGAACATATTTCTTTTGTAGCCGGGAGAGGCATTTTCAAAGGATGCTTAAAATATTATCACGCATATTTTCATATTCTGAAATAGGAACAGGTACAATCCCTTTTACCAGAACTCCCAAACTATCCTCGTATCCTCGGTTATTACATGTACACTCTTTTCCCAAATACCAGCTTCAAATCGCCTCGAAGTTCCCTACTGAAAGCTTCATTACATTTGCTAAGTCTTGATTTCGGCCGACTTCGAGAATTGGCAGCACATTCACGAAAATAAGAGGATATTAGCGAACGAGAAGAAGATACCAAGTATGTTCATTCAAATGATCAGAGAAGACTCTTCAAGTTTAAAAAGCTCCGAAATATCTGCTTAGGTGGAGAGAACCGTTGCTGATGACGTTTATGGTCACCAATGACAACGTTAATGGAATTATTCAACGACTTCATGCATATCAAAAACTGGGATGGTTTTAGGTTAGAAATAGGATGGGTGGCCGAGTGGTTAAGGCGGCAGATTCAAGTCCTGTTGACGTAAAGTCGCGCGAGTTCGAATCTCGCCTCATTCATTATTTCTTTTTTTTTGCACTCAACAGTCTGAAAGTGTACACCATTGCAATGACTTAGATATCCTGGAAAGCACTTTAACAAGCGATTGTCTCGTGCAAATAAATTTGAATTATATAGGAAAACCTTTAATTTAACTTCTCAAAGGCATTCTACAAACTAATACACATGCAAAGAAAACATACTCTTAGGTGAACCTTTGTGCAGTGTCAGGTTAACTGAACAATTTGATAGAGTCGTCATTAATGATTTCGGCATCTTCAAGGGCAACTTCATCAGCTTCGTCCATATTCACTTTTTGTCCTAACAAAGAAGCAAAGAGTTCATCAATCTGGAAGTCTTCCCACTTCAAGTTCAAAGGAGTTTCGAAATGGGCTATAGGGTCTTGGATATTGAACTTTAACTTTCTTCCCTTGGATGCTTTTGTATCGACGTTCTTATTGGACTTTTGAGCCTTTTGGGTTTGTCTTAGGGTCATAGTAACTCCATTTACGGGATTACTGGAAGATATTTTCTTCTCTACCAAATCGTTTAACAAGACTCTGTAAAAGTCTTCATCATCGAATATTTGGGGCATTTCGTTTTTTCCCTTGGTGACGACTTCTTTGGGGATATCCGGGTTTGCTTCCTCTTCTTCATCGTTTCCTTCTTCTGAAGGTTCCTTGTATCCCAAAGGAATCACTCCACTCCTGTTCAAATACGTTCTCTTTTTCAACCGCTCCACATCGTTCAAGTTATTCACAACCTGCTGTTCAGCCGATTGATTGACCACTTTAAACTTACCGGCATTCAATGCATTTGAGCCTGAAGAGCTCATCACTTTATTAGACCATTTAGTCAACGTTATTGACCTGAAGTTGTTTAACTTGGAGTCGAACTCACCAGCAGCCTGGGCGTAGTTATTGAGTTTTCTCTTCTTGGGAAAGGTTACAGTCTCAATGGAATCCTTTTTGTACAATGTGTTTCTGAGTTGCATGATATTGTCCAACAAGTCGTAACACTTTTCTTGAGCAGATTTAACAGCGGTTTTGGTTCTGGAAGTGGTGAATGGTTTAGCTGCTTCTGAGTCTTTGGGCAAAATGTTGGATTTGCTAACAGCTTTTTGTAGTTTAATACGGGATTCAATGAGCTTGTCAAAAAGCAGATTTTGGTTTATGATAGAAAACCCTTTCAAGGAGTCGTTGATGCTGGATTGAGCCACTCTTTTACCAATGGTTTGACGTTCTTTGGAAATCAACAATTTCAATGCATCTCTTTTGTGTTCATCTTCAAGGTGTTCTTCGGGTTCTTCGGGTTCTTCTTTGTCTTCTTGATCTTCTGATTCAGAATCGGACTGGTAGTTGTCAAGAGAAACACCAGAATCAGAGAGTTCTTCACTCTGTTGCAAGTCTTCCTCTTCATCACCACCTTCTTCACTTTCACTTATATCTTCGTCCTCTTCACTAGTGATCATCTCATTATCATCATCACCTTCAAATATGTCCTTTCTACTGCTCACCTGCCCACCGTAGATGTTCTTTGGTTCATGCTTTCTTAGCTTCGATTTAGACACTTTAACGTAATGGTCCGTCTTCAACTCATCTTCCGAAGACTCTTCGGCTTCATTACTTGATGATACGTTTGCAAATTCATCATTTTCTATGTCAAAGTCCGTTTGTGGTTTGTGGAGCTCTAATAGCTCATCAGCTAAAGTTTTCTTCCCCATTACTATAATCTTTAAGTTTTATCTCTTCTCATCTCAAACGAAAAAAATGCACAACGCGAGCACACATACAGGAAAACGTCCCTGAACTGCCACAAATACAAAACCTTCACCTCAAAAACCATCAATACTAACAAGGACCCGGTTCACACTTCCCACATAGCCTTATATGCATTGGTAGACACACCAATGGAAACTACGCACAAAAAGGAGTCTGATCAAGAGCTCTTTGGATCTCTAAGGCAACTTTCGTCTCTCCACCAAATGCCGCGCTGCAGTTAAATTCAAACTAAAATAACACCAGTAAACATAAAACATACTGTTTTTCTTTAGCGTGTTGTACTTTTCATCCATTTTAGTTGAAGTTACATCTTATTCAATTCACTAGAATCACCTTTTTTGAGCACCAAAAATTCTTTCCGCCCAAATGAACTTTACGAGACTCGTGTTACTCCTTTTCTCATTGTTCACCACTATAGCCGCTTTGGCAGACCAAGGCGATGGTCAGGCAACCACCAACAAAAAAACCACAACGAGTGTCTGGACCACCATAACCACAAAGGGAAAGACCACTGCCTTCCAAACTGCTTACTTCCAAAGTTTCATGTCCACCTACTCAGAAGCTAATACTGATGATGTCAAATCAGGAAATATTGGCTTAGCAAGCTCCGCAGACACTTCTCTTGGGGGAATCAGAACCTACGACCAAACTACCATCACGCTGCCTAATGATGGACACTCGATGGAAGCTGGCCTTTTCTCAGGAATCGTGGGATTATCTGTGATTATTCTCGGGTTGTTGTAGACGAGCGAACCTAGAGCTTGATAAATGACCCTGAAACTTGATTAATGTCTGTGAATGGTAGATAAATGTGCAAATGATGGCCGTATGACATTGAGATTGGTTCATCGACCAAAGCTTGACATATACTTGTGGAATAGGTTGTGTTTAGCCAGATGTTGTATTTGGTTAACTTCATGATAAATATTCTCATTTCTCACACTTGACTCACTTCTTACTCCATCCTTCCAGTACACTTCTTATATACTCAATAAATACACATTGGTTTACCGTACCTGTCAAGATCACGACTTCGGGATATGGTATACGCGCACCGCTGCTGGAGGCGTGCTGCCATTTACGCGGGCGCGACCAAGTCTCACCGGTTTCTGGCAACAAAAATTTTTCTCATCAACCGTATCGTTTGTGGATTGAAGTGTCAGAACTGTAACCAAACAATTAGGATAATGTCAGAAGAATTAGCTACCCAAACTGAAGCCTTATCATTGGAAAACAAGGAAACGATCTTGACCACCAAAGAGGACTTTACTGCCAAACATCCATTAAATAACAAGTGGACTTTGTGGTACACCAAGCCTCAAGTGAACAAGAGTGAAAACTGGCATGATTTATTGAAGCCTGTCATCACTTTCTCGTCCGTGGAAGAGTTCTGGGGTATATACAACTCAATTCCTCCAGCAAACCAATTGCCCATGAAGTCCGATTACCACTTGTTTAAGGAAGGAATCAAACCTGAATGGGAAGATGAGCAAAATGCTAAAGGTGGTAAATGGCAATACTCATTTGGTAACAGAAGAGAAATTAATGCTACCATCAACGATTTATGGTTACGTGGATTATTATCCATTATCGGAGAAACCATTGAAGATGACGAAGATGAAGTGAACGGAATTGTTTTAAACATCAGAAAACAGGTGATTAAAATTGGTATTTGGACCAAAGATTGTGACGAAACTAAGTTGAAGACCGTTGGAGAAAGGTTAAAGAAGGTGTTGAAGTTGGCTGAAGAACAAAGAGTTGAGTTTACCTCTCATGATGCTTCAAATGATAAGAATGCTAAACCTCAAATTGTTTTATAAATTTAATGATTACTTGGAAAGAGTTTACTTTTTGTATAAATAGAAAAACCTTATAAGCTCTACTTAGTATCCAACCGGGTTGATATTCTCTTTTATGAACATTTGTACTTTATCCCAATACCCATCTTGAATCACTGTATCATTATGTTGACTGTCAGGAAATTTCACTAAGGATTTATTGTCAGTTTCAAGGAGTTCAAATATTCTGTCCATATGGTTCGGAGGCACAATTTCGTCCTTTCTTGCACTCAAAAGTAACACAGGAATTCTGACGGGTATTTTAGGTACAAGGGATTCCAGATCCCACACCTGGTGAACAAACCTTGCAGCATATTTTAAGAATGGAAATATATGAGGAACTGTCTTAGGAATGGAAAGAAAGGTATTTTCCAATATGATCCCACTAACAGCATCTGACATGGTAGCTGCTATGTAGATAGTTACGGCACCTCCCAAAGACCGACCGTATAAAATGAGTGAACTGTTCAGAAATTGCTTATCTTCCCTCAAGTACTTCACCACAGTCTGTGCATCCACTTTGAGCCCCTTCTCAGAAGGCTGGCCCGTGGACTTCCCATATCCTCTATATGAGTAGATGAACACATTATACCCAAAATTAAGATAGAAAACTGACACGATTGGTAGAGCATGTCCTATATTCCCGGCATTAGGAGATAACATCAACACCGTCTTGTTTTTATATGTGGGAGACTTCACGTCATGTTTCAACAGATAGCCTTGCAAAGTTTCACCATCTTTAGTTTTTAACTCCACTAGTTCGTAGTCAGGCATGTTGTATTCATCTGGAGTGGCACAGTGGCCCCTTCCATCGTTGATTGAAGCAGGATAAATAAGCTTGGACTGGTACGAATATAATCCAGCCAACACGAGACCGCCTAGGGAAACTCCAATTTTCATGATTAGTTTGACGAATTTGAGTAGCTTCATTGTGATTAACGTACCGGCAGTTATCAAGCTCATTTTGACTAAACCTTATATGTTCCATCTTAAATTTAGTTTCGCGCTTCTCGAAGTTAATACTGGAGACAAAGATAGGATGTCAAACAACTCGGGCCATCTGAACTTAGCCAAGTTTGCGTTCAATATATATGGCACGTTAAACAACCTGTCATCTCTTGATAACAGCTCCAACCATTCACCCCCATCTTCTCTGAGTTCCACTAGATCAAAAATCGGGTATTTGAGATCTTCAGTGGCTGATAATTTGACGTATAATTGTGAAAGAGAAGTCAATTGCTTGACCGAATTGGAGTTTGTGAACAATCTGGGATTTATCAACAATGTGGTGATTGGGGGGAAGAATTACTTGAAGTTGTTGATGTTGAATGCCGATCAAACGTCCATATTAAACGAGGCCAATGTCCTAGAAGCATTGTCAAATCCTGCTTCAAGACTACCAGGAAGTAACAAACTCCACAACTTCAACACCATCAAGAGTTACTCCAATACTATTGCCGGTGGAATGGTGAATGGAAGCTTGACGCTATTCCAGGTGCAGAATAATGGTAAATCAAGAGCAATGAAGAGATTAACCGACCATACAAGATGTATAAACTCATTGGATTTCCTAGACCCCCTGAACAGCGATATGTCATCCAACTTTTTGATCTCGGGATCTCAAGATGGTTCCATCAAGTTGTGGGATTTGAGGCAGTCGAATAACAAACCATCAGTGAATATCGTTCCTAAGAGTAATTACGATTCAGTGAGGTCTTGTCAATTCTCAAACCATTCTTTGGTAAAGAACAAATTGGTCATTTTGTCGGTGCATGATTCCGGAACTTTGAACAAATACGACTTGAGATCGATACACCAGTCCACACAATCATCGGTTGTTCCTGAACGTAAATGGAACTTCCACACGGGCCCAGCATTATCTTTGAACATTCATCCGGAGAAAGAGTATGTGATTACCTGTGGAAGAGATCAAAAAGTGTGTGTATGGAACTACGGAGAAAACCAAAACAATTACAGTAATACTTCTCCGGAGCATGTTATCAACACGTATGGCCCGGTGATGAAGGTTAGATGGTGTCCATACTCGAATCCCTCAAAGAATAACGACGAGGATGTGCTATACGATGACAGAGACTTGAACACATCAAACAACCCCTTGTTCAAATACGACTTTGCTTGTCTGTACTTGAATGAGGATCCTACGATCACTGTGTTTAACTTGAAGAGAAAGTACATTCCCAAAGAAATAGTAACTTCAAACTCTAAGAGGCCTTACCTCAATTTCATCTGGGCCAACAACTTGAATGGTAAAAGACGATTGTGGACTTTAACAAAGGGTAATCAATTCATGTCTCGATGTTTAGACTCCTTTCTGGAATATGATAACATTACCAGACCAAAAGAGCTCCTCAATCCCGTGTCTCAAGCTTGGGGAACCAGCATTGGAGATATATCCTTCATCAACCAGGAAGAAAATGAATTTGAAAATACAGAGCCTTTGGAAAAGATGAGCAGTGAGGCTTTCTTTGATACCATATATGATTCTGAAGTTGATACGAACGAAGCGAATGACCCCAATGACTATAACAAAGTGATTATTGGTTCTTATCAAAGTAGCTTCAACAGCCCTCCGAACTCATCTCTTGCAACGTCACCGATCGAACAAGCTCCTCATAGCAGACCGGCTCTATTCCGATCTGCCACTTATAACAATGCTGGATTCCCGGCAAAAGCTACTCTGTCTTCTCCACAACTAAGGAACTCCTTGAGCTCCTACAACATATACGATCTGCCGTTATCAAGAAGACCAACCATGGGCAGGAATCCATCCCAAACCACCATAGATTCAAATCCTTCAATGGGATCACCGGTCAATAGGCTGGATTTCAACCCAGATACAAAACGAGCCATACTGATTCACTACGCTTCTCCTTACATTGTCCCAGTATCATTGGCACTTCCTTTGAATGACGATATAGTATTTGAGACCTTATCAAATAACTACATTTTGACAATTCCCGATGGTTTTTCGTTGGTGGATGTGTGTCTCTTAAATGCTAGTGTTGCTGGAAGTGTCAATAGATTCAGAGATTGTCAAATATGGAGAATGTTGGCGGTTGGGTTGGGACAGCATGTTGATGGAGTTTTGAATGATGATGCGGTGGATGTTAACCACTATAGTAATGGTGATACAGCTACTGAACCTGACGATAATAATGACAACAAATCGATCCTTTCAGATTATGGAAATTTTATAGGCTCATACAACTCGAACTCAACTCTGACCACACATTATGGAGGTTCTGAGCTGACATCCGAGAAGAGGTCGGCCAACCCTAGATCTTGGTCGGAGACAAAGAATTCTTCATCGAACAACTTGCTTGATATGATAAACCAGAATAGAAACAATTCTATTGTTAATGCTATCAGTATTAGTCCGTTGAGCCCCAGTGCGTCAAGGTCAAACAGTATGATTGCCCATGTGAATAACTTGAGACTAATGGCACAAAAGGGAGAAGATAGTGAACTGGCTGTCGAGGACGACGATGATGACAATGAAGAAACTAAACAAAGTCATAGAATTGACAGTGATAAAAAGAAAGAGTCCAAGAGTGAAAAAGATGAATCCAAGCGGAAGGACATCCCCAACAGCCAGACCCAGAGTGAAGAAGGATCAAGAGAACAGTCACCAGAAAATGATATAAGAAGACACGCGTCTGTTCCTGCACTCTCCAGGAACTTACTGGATACTAAATTAGGAGGCTCACCTCCTAGAAAAGGAAATGAGCGGTTCAAACAATACAGTCCTTCTCCCAAAAATTTGTCGCTTTTGAGTAGAACTAAACCCAAACGTGGTTCTTCCTTCACTCAAGCGTCAAAAGAACAAGATATGGATTTGGACAATGAGAATTTGAACGTCATGAATAATGCCATCAGCAGTTCATTCTCTTCATCAGCAATGTCTGCAGCTCATACCCCAGACAATAGAAGCACATATGGTTCCAATAATTATGTGGGAAGCTTTAAGAGTAGAAGATCATCTTCTATTGCTCCAACGTACGGATTTTCAAAGAACAGAACTTTCGATCAGGGATTGCCTGAGGTTGATGAAGTCATATCCAACCACAGTAGTAGGATGGGCGACTCTTTCAAAGAATCTGGGTTGACAAGGGCTATTGAAGGCATCAAAGAGAAACCTAAAGATAGCAATTACCTAGAGGTACCATGGACTATAACTAAATTGTTGCAAAAGGCTTTGGAGCATGCGACTTTACAAGGGGACGTTATATTCTGCTCTACCTTATGTTTATTGTTTTTCCCCTTTACCAAATCGTTGGGACTAAGGTTTCTCAAAAACAACTATTGTTTAGAGTGGTTGTCTCTCTACATCGAGATTCTTCAAAAAAAAAGATTGTATGTTAATGCTATGAATATTCTTAATGATTCTCCCAGAGAGTTACAAGAAAAACTCCTTACATTATATCACACCGACACCTTGAAGTTATATTGCCAAAATTGTAACAGCTTAATTGTCAATGAAGAAGCTAAGATGAAATTCAACCAAGGAAACACAAAAGTTTTTGGATACTGGTACTGCGAGCAGTGTAAGAGTAAGCAACTGAATTGTGTTTATTGTAATGAACCATGTCAGGGGTTGAATGTAGTTGTCAGTTTAAATTGTGGACACAGAGGACACTTTGGATGTCTAAGAGAATGGTTTGTTGACGGACAAAACCTAGAATGCCCTGGGGGCTGTAATGAACTTCTTTTCTAGGAGGTCATATCAATATAACATCACCAATGTTCAAATATCCACTAATTAGACCATATTTCACCACAAACACCGCATCTTTCTCCAACTGTAATTCATCTTCATCTTCAAGAGGAATTGTGATAGTCTCATCTCGAAGCACCTTGATAAATACCATCTCATCCACATCGGGCGTGGTAACCATTGAGATATCTGATTCAACCTCATCCAAGTAGGTTAATTCTCTGGGGATTTTTTTTAATATAGAATTATTGTAAAGACTCTGTAAGAGACCCATGTACTTCGTCAAGTACTCTTGTTCTTCATCTGATAGAAGAGTTGCTTTCGTGTCATCACGTTCTCCCGTAAGTCTGATATAGTGAATGGTGAAGGTTTCAAGCTTTGAAAGCCTAACTCTCAAATAAAGTCTTACTAAATAACTTAACCTCTCGATATCAGTTTCCATTATCATCAACTGCAATTTATAGTCACTAGTAATGATTCCTGAGTCGATATTCACGTCTCCGTATTCATGAGAATCAAGCAAGAGTTGTTGCTGGTTGGTGATCCTGGACAATACCTCATCTAGTAGATCTTTCTGGTAAGGTAGAATTTCTGGAGCCATTCTCTCATTCAACATAACACGCGATAGCAGAGTGTACAAGTCAACCTTGGGTTTCTGGGAGCGTTGACCAACTTCGGTGTCGAAGTTTCTGAGAATATCATCGACTTCCATGGTTAGTGGTATAAAAAACAAAAAAACGCGATAAACTGAATAGCTTCCAATGGACCGACAGTCGATACTAGAACAGAAAAGGAAACGATTGGAGGAATTACGGCAGCGTAGGCTTGCCAACAACGATGAAAAATATGCTGATAATGCTGTCAAAGAAGAAGCTATATCAAAAGTTATACGAGTGGATGCATCTGTACAAACTCAATCAGACAGTCCATTTAGATCAAACGCAACTTCAACTATAAATTCATTGGAGATCACGAAGTTTGACAAGGCAGTCCAAACTGTCAACAGTACACCAAATCATCCGGTACAAACTAGTTTAATTGAAGTGAAAGATGCCACTCAAAAAGAGTCCTTAGATAGTATTTTGTTGGACCTCAACGTTAATGAAAAGGACTTACACAGTCTGCTCAAAAGTGCGGTCACTTTGTTGCATGAAGTCTTGGCTACTTCAATCGAGCCAAGTGTAGACTCTCCGGCTATACAAACAGATGAAGAGAAAGGTTTAATTTTTGTGACAACAGAAGTCCATGCCATTAAGAACCGCGTACCAATATCTATTGAAGTATCAACAACCCCAAACGAGTTTTTGGTCAACTTCAATAACAACGAATTAGAGGAATTTCCAGGGTTTGCGGTTATATATCGAAATCTAAACGGTAAAGTCATTCCAATGAAGTTTCTTGCTAGCTTGTCTCCTATCAACTGTATCAAATTTGATGAGTTTTCTCCTCTGAAAGTTATCGGAGGGCTAACGAATGGTAGGGTGGTAATATGGGAACTTGCTGAATCCTCGGGAGAAGATGCTGTGATTCTTCCCACTTTAATGAGCCCTAGTGACTATTCTAATGGCAATTTACATAAAGTTCCCATCACATCCATTTCACAAATCTCCACAGAGCCCAACACATTCATTACCACTTGCTTGGAAGGCTTGATAAATGTTTGGTCTACCAATTTCTTGGAGTATCCACAATTTGAAGGGGTTTCTTTACCGAATAATACAGAGGAATCTTTAGGGATACTTGAACAACCCTTTAAATCAATAAAACATGCCATTTTGCTTGAAAACGGCGATAAAAATGTGTTGAAAGATCACAAGTTCTTGAACCTGATGATCATTAGTACTGAGACACATGGTGTGCATCAACTTATCAATGATAGCAAACTTGGATACATCAAATCTACTATTGAAACCAAAATAGTGGGATCTATGACGAATATCGGCTACAAAGACGACTCGTCTTTAACAGCCTTGACATGCTATGACTCAAACATCTACATCTTGAACAACCATAAGAAAATATTGAAGATAGCTACGGATTATATGGTATTAGGACTATTCAAACGCCCGACTACACAATTCCAATTTGTTACTTTTGGATTGTTTGACGAACTTGAAGATAAATTAACAACGGTGATAGACTTCTGGGATTTGAATGTCAATACTAGATCTCCATTATTCTCTTTGAGAAGGCCATCTTCAAACCACCCGACCTCAGGAAACTTCGAAAAAGAAGGAAATATTTTTTATATGGGGTCTTCTGATGGCATCCTTTCAGTTTTGATATTGGATACAAACTTTATTACGAAAGGAAACAATAACGATACAATTCATGAAATAGTCTAATATACATTAATGAAATAACTACGGAAATGGCCGCTTGTTCTATCAATTTGGTTCAAGTGAAAGCCGTGAAAAGATTGTCTCTTGTAGATATGGTGATATTCTTCGCAATATCTGTGTCAGTGTCTCCAGGATGTTGTTGGATCGAAATGCAATCACGGGAAGCTAATGCTAACAATTCAAAAAAACACTTGGAGGCTTCTTTCTTCATGTTCAACACGTTTGAGTTGCCTCTTTTGATGGTTCCTAGAGGTAATGGTTCGGAGCATGAGCTGTCTCTCTCTATAATTGTCTCAAAGGGAATGGCTTGATTTGTATTCTCAGATTTGATCAAGTCCACAATTTGTTTAGTGGATGAAGCTGCTTCATTATCGAGTTGAAGCTGGGGAAATTGTTCATCGAAGTCAATTTCGTTACCCTCTTCGTTTCCAAACTCCGGTAATGAAAGATCAAAGTTGAAGTCATCGAAACTGCCTTGAAATTGGTCTTCTTCGTTGAGTTGATCGAAGTTGCCAATAGTATCCAAAGCATTAGTTTCTTTGGTACTCACGTCATTGCACAACCTAGTCAATTCAGTGTTCAAATCCCATATCTTTCTTTTTTTAAACCCAGCTGGTTCGGAAAGTTCTTTAATGAGAAGTAACTTGTCATTGTCAGACAACCTGAAAATTGCAGACTCTTTACGCCAGTCGCCATTCAATTGCAAGTATTGTAAATGTTTCAATTCTTCAATTGTTATCCCACTGTTCAACTTCTCTTCAGAATCCACCTGAATCTTTCTCTTATTGGTCTTCAAAACACCATCTTCTGTTATTCCCACCAACTTACGACGATGAACAGGCTCCTTTACGGGTAACGTCGATTCATTTGAAGGAGTAACAGGTTCGTTACTATCGGGAGGAGAGTTCGCTTCGTTCTCATCAATTGTCTCTAAAGGAGCATCAAACTCCAACCCAAACTTGTTCCCAGAGTCACCAGTGTCTATATCGAACGAAGAAAGCTCTGGATTTGTTACCGAAGTCTCTCTTCTTCCCACTTCGATGGAATCATCAGCATCGAAATTATTAAAGTCCAAATCGAAATCAAGATCATCATGCATCATATTATCATCATCGTCATTATCAAGTCCATTGAATCTTCCATATTCAACTGAATGATCAAGGTCTCCATCGTGGGAAACACTCACTTCTTTCTGGCTAAACAACGAAAATGGGTCACCAGTGGATCTTCTGTGGTTTACATCGTCCAAAGAGAGGCTTTCTTGGTACAATAAGTCGTACCGCGTGACCCGGTCCGGCAAGGTTATACTGCCGATGTTAGTGATGGTGCTGCGACCCGCATTGATATTCTGGTGTCTGTGGCCGGTCTCGCTGCCCAAGAGTACTCCTCCACTAGCAAACTTGAAGGCATTTTTCAACTTGAAAAGAATGTCATTGGCATCATCCAAAAGATACTTTGTCTTCCTGGAATATATTCTCACGATCCCTAACAAAAGCTGACCCGATAACCGTAAAGTGATGTTTTCTGATGAGGATATGGGTTGATTCAAGAGGGTAGTGGAAGTGATGAGGTTTGTGTTGAGAAGCTGCTGCTTGGTGAGCTTCTTCTCATAGTTGGCTGCCATCCACACCGGCGCTAGCGGGCCCTCCTGAAGCTTGCTTGTGTACATGTTGAAGGTTGTAACAAGTATTAAAGAGGGTGAATAAACAACTGAAGAATAAAGGTCGCGGTCGCGCGTCTATCGCTAGGGATGCACGAGCAGAACTTTGGCGCGCAAACCCGTCCGCGCACGCACTTGATAGGCAAGCGGTGCGGGTGGTCATAGTCGAGTAAAACCCTAACCAACTTATAATTAAATACCAATGAACCTCGAGACCAAGTTGAATGAGTCGCTCAACGACATCCTACGCTCATCGGGGTATATTTTCGAGATCATCAACAAAAACAAGAAACAGAGCAACCTCATAACTGGCAGCAATAATCAGCTAATTCCTCCCATTGTAACGGCGCAGTTGGGAAATAGTATAAGTCGGTTTGAAGACATTTTGGACGATACTATTGCCAAGTTCAACGACGCCAAATGGTGTGTGGAGCAGATCTTGGAAAGTAAACAGAAGCAGGAGGAGCTTAAGCTTAAGGAAGAAGAACGTAAAAAAGAAGAGGAAATCCGCAAAAAGATGGAAGAGCAGAGGAAACTAAAAGAAGAAGAGGACCGCAAAAAAGAGGCCGAGCGGAAGCGACAGCAGGAGGAGGATCGCAAACGGTTGGAAGAACAAGAAAAGGACCGCAAAAAACGAAAGGAGCAAGAAGACGAAGAAGAGAGAAAGAGACAAGCGGAAGCAGCCGCCGCACAAGAGCAGGCCAACCAGGACAAAGCTCTATTTGATGACTTTATTGCTACCGACTTCGACTTCAACATGAACGATATCATTGAAAGTGGTGACGGTCAGCAGGGTAACTCCAATGGCGATGACAACAATAACATTAATAGTGGACTTGACATACCTAATCCCACCGACATTTTGTCGTCCATCAACTATCCCGATTTAATGGACGGTCTCGAAAACAACATGGGCGGCTCGGATAACAAGGGTTCCAGTGACCACAACGATAGTGGTAACAATAATAACGATGATAAGAACAAACCTGACCTTGATCTAGATGTGAATAATATCTTGGGCAATAATGATCTGATTCTAGATGGGTTAAACATGAGCTTGTTGGACCCTACCGACGACATCAACCCTCCTGATGGTAACACCTTTGAAGAAGACTTCGATGTGGATAATTTCCTTAATCAATTTGCTGGCAATGACTAATGGGGGATCAGTATAACAATAGCGTACTATAATATAAGCATGAACCGATATCGCCACACCACCTTCCCAATGCGGCAGTCGACGCCAACCAATTAAATTGTAAAATTGGCTCGTACTCGCACTCTTGAAAAATTTAGAGAAAGCCGAAACTTTTATTCCAACAACACAGGTACCAACGAGTTTAATCATCACGATGTTCAGACAAACCTTACGTCAAGTTGCCAGACAATCAGCCTCTGTTGCCAGAAGAACCTATGCCACCGAAGCTACCTCCGATGCTTTGAAGTTATCGTTGGCCTTGCCTCACCAAACATTATACTCAGACAGCGAAGTCGAACAAGTCAACTTACCATCAGTCAATGGTGATTTGGGTATTTTGGCCAACCATATTCCTATCGTCGAACAATTGAGACCCGGATTGTTGGAAATCATTTCTAAGGGTGGTGAAACCGAACAATACTTTGTCAGTGGAGGTATTGCTACCGTTCAACCCGGTAACAAATTGACCATAAGTGCTATTGAAGCTTTCAAGCCTGACCAGTTCGATGTCAATGAAGTGAAGAACTTGATTTCCGACGCCCAGAAGAGAGCCAGTTCTTCCGATGAAGTTGAGGCTGCTGAAGCTTCCATTGAGTTGGAAGTTTTGGAAGCTTTGCAAACTATTGCCAAATAATTCAATTGCATGCAACGGTTACTATCTATAACATAAAAATACAAGAATATTAGAGCTGAACGTAGAACTGTAGTTTTGGGTACACATTAGGGAACTCTGAAGAATCTGCTGAAATTTGCGATTCTTAGGAATTGATCCTGAGAAGATTGGATTCAAAATTTGAGTGCCCACAATTACAACAATCTCCACAAGCACTTTCCTCATTCACTTTGCCCATCCAAAAACAACTAGCTACTAACATAAGACCTTCCCCAGAATTTGTTCTAAACCCATGAATGGACACTCTCTAACCAGTCTGACCCATACACCCATAGAAATCCGCCCCATACACCCACGTTAAAATAGGCAAACCCCCACCCCCCACTCTCATTTGGATAACGTGACATTATTGTTGCGGTGATTTTTCCGATCGGAGAGATTTTTGGTAATATGGGGAAACAATATAAATACATCGACTGCTCACTTTTTGAAAATTTCCCTAACAAAAATGGTGTCCAATCCTTCCTTAGTGTTGAACGAGATCAAGAACCTCGAATTCCAAACCCACCAAGCCCCTGAGGCCACCGAGGACTTCGACGTGTTGGTCGAAGTTAAAAAAACTGGTATCTGTGGTTCTGATGTCCACTACTACTTACACGGAGAAATCGGTTCTTTTAAGTTGAACAAGCCCATGGTCATGGGCCACGAAAGTTCGGGAATTGTCAGTAAGATTGGCCCCAAAGTCACCAGTTTGAAGGTCGGTGACAGGGTTGCAATTGAGCCTGGTTTACCTTCTAGATTCAGTGACGAATACAAAAGTGGACACTACAACTTGTGTCCACACATGTGTTTTGCAGCCACCCCAGCTCCTGAAGGAACTCCCAACCCGCCAGGAACCTTGTGCAAGTACTACAAGTGTCCCGAAGACTTTTTGGTCAAGTTGCCCGAAACTGTGTCTTTGGAATTGGGTGCTTTGGTTGAGCCTTTGACAGTGGGAGTCCATGCTTCCAAGTTAGCCAACGTTAAGTTTGGTGATGTGGTGGTTATTTTTGGTGCTGGTCCTGTCGGGTTGTTAGCAGCCAGTGTTGCTACTGTTTTTGGCGCCTCGGCTGTGTGTGTGGTTGATATTTTCGACAATAAGTTGCAAATGGCCAAGGATATCGGTGCAGCCACTCACGTGTTCAACTCCAAGACTGAAGGTGGCTACACCCAATTGGTTAAGAAATTGGGCAAGTCTCCAACTGTTGTGTTGGAGTGTACGGGTGCAGAGGTGTGTATCCAAATGGGTGTTTTAGCATTGGCTACTGGTGGTCGGTTTGTGCAAGTTGGTAATGCGCAAGGGTACGTTAAGTTTCCCATTACCGAATTTGCAACCAAGGAATTGCAGTTGTTCGGGTCGTTCAGATACGGCTACAACGACTATAAGACGGCTGTTGCGTTGTTGGAAAAGAACTATAGAAATGGAAAGGAAAACGTCATTGTGGACTTTGAAAAGTTGATTACCCACAGATACTCCTTTAAAGATGCCATCAAGGCATACGAAGAGGTTGCCGCTGGGAATGGTGCAGTCAAATGCATGATTGACGGGCCCGAGTAGGCTACCGAAGTTGAATATAGAATTAATAATTTTTTGATAATTTAGTTATTGAATGTTGAGACGACTTAATGATAGTTTGTGCTTGTAGTGAAAATGAGAAATGTGTGAGAAAAAAATTTGAAGTTGAAAAACTGAATTCACCAATGTCATTAACGGCCAAAGAAGCGTTTTCAAAACTTCCACAGAAGCTTCATACCTTCTTTATCAAGTACCCACCAAGACCATTTGCCTCGTATGCAGAGAAACCATCGACGATAAATGACCCGGCCATGAACCCGTTTTTACCAAACAAAAACCCGGAAACTGGCAGATGGCAAGGATCCAAGTATTCTTTGAGAAGATCAGCTGATTTGTTCAAGTTGGCTTACAAGTTCGGTGTGCACGACTTGTTACCTCCATTGCCCAAGAAGTTCTATGACGACAAGTACGACAACAAGAACTGGATGAGAGGCGTGTTGAACCACAAGATGCATAAATGGGAGAGAAACTTGGAAGATAAAATACAGGCCAAGAAGGAAGCCATTGCCAATATGGACAAGACGATTGTAGAAGCCAGACCAAGCTACAAGAAGCAACTTCACAAGAGGCAAAGTAGAAAGAGAACTTGGTGGTAACACCTGTATAACCTTGTATATATTAATGATAAGTATTCTAAACACAGTTGTGGTAAGGCCAGCCGTGGGGTCGTAAAACTCTGTACAAAGTTACCTTTTTTGTTGAACGGTCATAATGTCGTTAAACACCTCTTCTCTTGAAAGGCTTGGGTTTGTGACTACCTTTGGAAACACTTCCGCTGGTCCCCTTACTCTTCGTGTTTTGCACACACTTGGCCAACACCGCATCCAAGTTCAAATCCTCCGGCAACAACACCTGGCGGATCTGATTACCTCTGATATTCATGTAGTTCAAGAACTGAGCGTCTTGGTGTGGTTGAATAAGCTTGATGTTTTTCAACGCCAAGTTCATCGTGGGGGAGCAAGAAAGAACCTGGCCGTTCACGGAGTTCCCGTTCTTCAACTCCACCGTCACCGGGTGACTGGTAGATCCCGGAAGGTGCATTAGAAACGATACCAACTTCATGTGTGGGTGAGATGCAACTGGAAAGCAGTTCGCGCACAGAAATTTGGCTCACAAGTCTCTTTTCACCAGCCATGAGTAGACAACCCACGTTAGCCGAAAGTGTAGGTAATATACCTCCTATTGCCCGATTTTTCACCGTGTCCACTTTGTCGGTATGTATGCTCATCTCATTGGGTATAATAGACCCACAGCAGATGATTTTCCACCCACTGATATACATTGAAGAATTCGAGTACACCAAGGCAGTATTTACAATGGGAACTTGGACTGAAGCGGTTAAGCTGGTCCTATTACTTGTGTTTGAATGCTACAGGTGCTTTACCTCTTTCTTGGTGCCAGCCGGATTTTTGGACGGGAATCGAATGGGCGCTGTGCTTGACATCTACTTTTTCTATAAGTTTGCCAACAACGTGGAGATAGGCAAGTTCAAAGGAAACTTCCCAGATTGTCTTTGGTTCACGTTGATTTGTGGAACGTCTATATTGACCATGACGGTGGGATACTATTTCTACGACCCAACTCGTATTACTAGACACCACGAGCTGATGTTGCTTTGCATCACCTACATTTGGGCTCGTGGCCAGAAGAACTCCATTGTTAATTTCCTTGGAATCGTTCCTATCAAGGCGTACTACCTTCCGATGTTCACGTTGTTCATCAAGGCAGTTGTTCACGGTTATGACGGCTTGGTAGACTCAAGTATGGGCATTGCCGGTGGATATTTATACCAGTGTCTCCAATCAAGTACAGCTCCAATTTATAACTTGTTTCCTCAGTTCTACAGAAAGTTCTATTCGTCGTCTATCTATTCCAGAAACAGGGTGGGAACTAACCAAGTATCGTTGGCAGATGACTTTATCAACGACACAGTTTTCGACAGAGGATACTTACCTGCTCCTTCGTGGGTATACCTGATTCTCAAGTATCCTGTTGACAGAAGTTCTAAAAGAATCACTGCGTTTGGAAAGCCTATCGAACCTGTTAGATCAGACTTGAAGTCAGAAGCCTCGGCTACTACCACAGGCTCCTACTTCAAAGGACGGGGGTTTAGACTAGGGTCGTAAAGAGCCCTGCTGTTTGAAATACATTAAATATGATACATATTGAACATTAGGCTGAATTCTATGTTTAACATCAAAATACCCCTATCATTTCACTTGTAAACGCTTTTGGTACAATTCAATCTCCGGGCACTTTGGCTCTATTGTTGGACCCCTTCAGCCATTTCGCACTCCAACTAAACGAGAAAAGGTACCTGAAAGGAATTAAAATAAACTTTTCCATGCCAGATACTATCAACCCAAAGAAACCCCCAGGAGACGTGCTGAACTCTCGGATTGTTTCTGGGCCCACGTCGGGCAACGCTTCCCCTACGTTGAAACCCAAAGCCTCGTCGAAATTACGAAAGAAATCGAGGCCGCATATAAAGAGGTTACCTTCAGGTCATAATAAACTAGTATTTTCAGTCGACGATGACATCGATGATGATATAGATGATGACAACGACAGTGCCCCACGAAGACAGGCCAAGTTGGATAAGGAGTATCTCGAGGGGTACAATGATGCTTTGAAAGCATTATATCTCAAGAAGTCCAAGAAGGAACTACCCCAACAAGAAGGTAGCTCTAGCTACTTTCCCGAAACTCCAGAAATGTCAAAAATAAACGAGATCGACTCAAGTAAATACCCTCCAGCAGAAGGTACTATACGGGACCATTTGTTGGCGGCCCAGGAAAATATGAAAGCACTAGAAGATCTTGATGAGGAGTACTTATCAGCTAATGTGGTCAGTACCCCGTTAATTGAGGATGACGAGGATGAAGAAGACGATGATGAAGTAGAATCACAGTCAGTGAAATCTTCTTCATCGTCTCAGACCATGGAATCATTGAATTTGAGAGAAAGACAGGATGCTATCAACTCAACTCATCCGTTTGGTATTAAGATCTGGAAACCCTCCTTGTATAAGAAAAAGAGATCTGTTGCCACGCGAGCCGAAGAAGATATCCACGAGTTCAATCAGCATAAGCCCACCATAAACTTGGGGGTTCATTTGTCGAACTTCTTGTGGACAATTACTTTGGGACTATTCTTATATTTCGTGTGCACCTTTTTCTCGGTAGTGTTATTCTTTGTATCTGGCTTCGGTATCCAGAAGAATTCAAGGGTCTACATCAAGTTAATTTATAAGGTTGGAAAGTTCTGGTTACATCCTTTTGGCAAATTTGTTTTGTTGAACAAGGATGAGAACTATTTGGATGAAGATGATGTTTATGGTTCCTCCATTGGGGAGTTCCACAGATGGAGACGTGAAGAAGAAGGCAGGCTCTTCTTTGCACCCCCACGTAGAAACACAAACTCCAACAATGAGTCCCAGCCCTTGATTAAAGATCATAAGGGTAGAGCTTTGAGAGATTCTTATTCTTTTCTTCAGGATAATCATGGGGGTTCAAGTCATGACAACGATGAAGCTCACACCAGTGCAATTGAAGAGGATGAACAGGATAACAGAAATGATATCAAGGTTAGATTCTTTGGTAGAGGTAGTTGGACATTTCCCCGAGTAATGTTCTACCTCTTATTTTATTGTTTTTTGCAACCAATCTTTTACCTTGTAGGTATTGTTTGTTGGTTATTAGTGTTCACCATCCCTATGTGCAATGTCACCATGCTTTTATGTACACACTTAAAGAGGCACCCATTGGCCTTACACTTTGAAGACGAAAAGAAATATTACGCCGGTGCTGATCAGAGGAAACGTGCTAACCAATCGATTCTTTTGTGTACCTACAGATGCAGTGCCTTACATTACTACAAATACACTATTGATGGTACCAACGTGTTTTTCATGAATCTTTTGATGACAGTGGTATTTGTCATTTTCGATTTCTACGTGCTTAAAGAACGGTGGGAGCTTGAATTGTTCATCACAAAACCAGTATTCTTATTTTGTGCATGTCTTTTCTCGACAATCCCATTAGCATTTTACATTGGTCAGGCTGTTGCTTCGATATCTGCACAGTCTTCCATGGGAGTTGGTGCAGTGATCAATGCATTCTTTTCTACTGTTGTAGAAATCTTTCTTTACTGTGTGGCATTATCTCAATCGAAATCTAAGATTGTTGAAGGTGGTATGATTGGGTCCATTTTGGCAGGTGTATTGTTGTTGCCAGGCATGTCTATGTGTGCGGGTGCTGTGAAACGGAAGACTCAAAGATACAATCCACGGTCTGCAGGTGTTTCTTCTACGATGTTATTGTTTGGAATGGTGATACTATTTGCTCCATCTTTATTCTATCAGATTTATGGCTCATATGAGATAAGGTGTAAAATTTGTGAAACAACCATACTGGCTCCATTTGAAGATAATTGCACAACATGTAGGTTTATTCAACCTGCTTTTGCTTTGGACACTTTGTACTACAATATCATTAGACCATTTTCTTTCACAGTGGCTGTTGCTTTACTTTTAGCTTACGCTTGTGGTTTACTTTTCACGTTGAGAACCCATGCTTCTTTGATTTGGGCCACCACTTCTAATGAACATAGTCCACATAAAAAAGATGAAGGTATGTCTTTAAGGTCCCCAAGTCTTACAAGTATTGATAGCAAAAAGCTAAAGATATTGAGTCCTATTTTACAAGCATCCAATGGGTCATCTGTAGATGCCAAAAGACCTGGTGGCTCATCGGTTTCAACAGCATTACCATCACCTTCAATAGAGGTTACCAAACAAAGAAATCCAAAGATTACCATTCCCATTAAGTCCAAACCATTAACTTCGAATGATTTCAGACCCACCACTGATGCGTTGCCAACAAGAGATAGTCTTAAGGATTTAAAAGAAGACGTTGAACAAGGTGGTGGTCATGACGCGCCCAATTGGTCTCGTTCTAAATCCTCGATCATCTTGTTATCGGCGACGATTCTTTACGCAGTCATAGCCGAGATTTTGGTTGATGTTGTAGATGGAGTTCTTCAAGACTTTCCTATCAACCCTAAGTTCTTGGGGTTGACAGTATTTGCATTAGTTCCGAATACAACCGAATTTTTGAATGCCATCTCGTTTGCTTTAGGAGGAAACGTTGCTTTATCGATGGAGATTGGTAGTGCCTATGCTTTACAAGTGGTTTTGATTCAGGTTCCAGTGTTAGCAATTTACTCCATGTACCGGGATTTTGGAGATCCGTTACAAACCTTTTCTTTGGTATTCCCCAGATGGGATATCATAGCCACATTGATATCCATTTATTTATTCACCTATATCTATGCTGAAGGCAAATCCAACTACTTTAAAGGAGTGATATTGATGTTAATTTACTCGGTGATGTTGGTAGGATTTTATTTAAATGATTTCTTGGAGTCATTGGACGATGGTTACAACCAACCTATCACTTCCCCAAGCTCATTCTAGTGAACATTGTGTTCCAAAATCAAAATACAGTCTTGGCATTATTATATACTATATGAAAGTTAATCTAGTAAACACTATAAACTCTGCCTTCATATGGTTCCAACTGTTGGGAAACTTTAGTATAATTGCTGTGTAAGAGCTTGAGATCTCCTTTGACCAAAGGCTCAAAGTCAATTTCTTTATCAGTAAAGTTCAACACCACCAAGACAGTTTTATCATCTGATTTTTTCAAGAACGAAAAGGTCTTCTGGTTGTCGAAATCCAAGATTTCAAGATCTCCATACACGAACAAGTCCTTATGTTGCTTTCTAAGAGAAAGACACAGTTTCCAGAAATTATAAAGCGAATGAGGATCATTGTACTGAGACTCGGCATTGATATCGGGATAATTGTCATTAACTCTCATCCAAGGCTTTCCCGTTGAAAACCCTGCATGAGCAGAAGCATCCCACTGAACCGGAGTTCTGGCATTGTCTCTTGCTACAAGATTGAGTACCTTCATAAACTGGGCTATTCTCTCATCACTGGCACCTTCTTGAAGCAACTCATTATAATAGTTCATGGAGTTGATATCTTTGTATTCCTCGATGGGCCATTCTTTAGGCACATTGGTCATTCCAATTTCCTGTCCCTGGTAAAGGAAGAGTGTTCCACTAAGAGAACTCATTAACAATGCTAGCAACTTGCCTGACTGTACTCTCCATTTAGGATCATCGTTACCAAATCTGGTTACAGACCTTGGCTGATCATGGTTCTCATTAAACACAGTTGTCCAGCCCTCGGTCCCAATGAACTCTGCTTGGTTAGTCACAGCCGTCTTGAGATCTGGCAAATTGTATCCATTGTAGATGAACCGGTCACGAGGATCAGATCCTAGTTCCACCATATCAAATAAGAATAACATGTTCATTTCACCTCTACCAGCACCCACGTACTTAAGAACCTCATCGTGAGAAGAGTGTCCCACTTCACCTACAGTCATTGCATCATACTTGGAAGTTACCCTCTTAAACATTTCCTGATGGAACTCATGGATTCTTGGGCCATTCTGGTGGTATAATTTGCACGGCTGGAACTCTCTGTCTGGGAATACAATAGGTGCATCCAAGAACCTCTGATCCTTGGAGTACATACCCGCAGTATCAATTCTAAACCCATCAATGCCTTTATCGAACCAGAAAGAAAGGGCAGACTTGTAGAGAGCATTTCTGGTGTGTTCATTTTCCCAGTTCAAGTCTGGTTGGTTTTTGGCAAATAAGTGCAAATAGTATTCACCGGTGGTTTCATCATATTCCCACGCAGAACCAGAGAAATATGACACCCAGTTGTTGGGAGGTTGTCTGTTACCCTTAGAATCGTACTTGGGAGGCTTCCAAATATACCAGTCTCTCTTGGGGTTGGTTTTGGAGCTTTTACTTTCCTGAAACCATTTGTGCTCAGCAGCAGTATGGTTAATAACCAAGTCCAAGATTAACCTCATTCCTCTTTTGTGGATCTGGTCAATTAAGATGTCCATGTCTTCCAAAGTCCCGTACTTGGGATACACAGACTCGTAGTCACTGATATCATATCCCATGTCATTCTGGGGGGAGTCATACATTGGAGATAACCAGATGATGTCGGCACCCAAGTTCTTGATGTGGTCAAGTTTGGAAACTATACCAGGAATATCCCCAATTCCGTCCCCGTTGGAGTCTTTGAAAGAGGCAGGCCATACCTGGTAGATCGTGGCATCCTTCCACCATTTATAGTTGATTGTCATGTTTTTTGTTTGTAGACGGAAACTCTGGGTAGTCGAATCCATTTATACAGAATCCGGGGTACATCGCACTTGTTTTTGCGAGCATCTTACGAGAGACATTACGAAGATTTGATGTTAATTGTAAGCATCAAATAGAGGAGAACACAGGAGGATGGTTTGTAGAGATTAGTCATGCAGAGAATATAGAAAATATACGTCAGAAGCAATTTTTGGGTCCGTTGTTTTCTGAAGTAGGTTCAATAGATTTTACTGGGCCAGAGCATTATTATGAGAATAACAGGAATAACCGTTAATGGAGTCTCAGATAATGGAGATGATTTGTACCACTTATAAGCAGAATGACCATAGGTATGCAAAATTTTGAGGAGTGTTTCATTGTCACTAGTTGACTAATTCCACCATTGATAAGGTGGTTAATATAAACACCCAGAAGAGAGTCTCACAACCAATACTACAACAGTGGTCCGATATACGTTGTTAGTTGGTTGTGTTCCTATGTAAGTGGTTCTGCCTTGCTAGCTGATTGTGTTCTCTTAAGTTCCTGATCACTTCGCGGAGTTCGCACCTCAACAAAAACAACCATAAAACCATCGCATCTTCTCAACAACATGGCATTAAAACACATTTATATCGCCAGACATGGATATAGAATGAACTGGTTGCCACCCCCACACCCTCCCAATCCTACTGGGATTGATAGTGATCCTCCGTTGGCACCCCACGGAGTTGACCAGGCTAAGGAACTAGCTGAGTATATTGCGTCGCTCCCTCATAACCAACAACCTCAATTCATCTTGAGTTCTCCCTTTTATAGGTGTGTGGAAACCGGCGAGCCCATAAGCAAGGCTCTCGATATCCCAATTGTATTGGAGCGGGGTGTTGGTGAGTGGTATAAGGTTGGTAGAGGAGTGATTCCTGAACCTGCCAACTACGATGCGCTATCCAAGTTTTTCAGTCATTTATCTAATGCAGACGAATGGGATAGGGACAAGACGGTGGGAGTGGTTCCCAGTTTGACGGGAGAAACCGAAACCGACATTTTCGCCCGGTGCAAGTTCTTCTGGAGCAAGTTTTTCCTGGTGTTCGAGTCAAAGTATCCGCACATCGAGAACATTCTCATCATCACCCACGCTGCCACCAAGATCGCGTTGGGTATGTCGTTGATGGGCTTCAACGATGTGTTTGAGTACTTGGATAAGGACGAAACGGTGTTGAGGGCAGGGGCCTGCTCCTTAGACAAGTACCAAAAAGTCGGGGAAACTTGGGAACTCAAAATGAACGGCAACTGTGAGTTTTTGAGCCAAGGAGAAGAAATGAACTGGGACTTCCACTCCGGATTTGAAGCTGGATCCGATGAAGATATCAAAGCTAGAAGACTCGCGGCCGAGAGAGAGAAACAAGCAAATCAAGACATGCAAGTACGTAGATAGAGTGCAACCCCGTGGGGAATTTTAATATACTAACCAACTGCAAAGGACTTTTACATCACAGTAGACGTCCCCAAGTACGGTGACAGTGGAAGTTTGATCAAGCCCACTTCCAAATTTCAGATCAGTGATATTGTTGATGCGCATCCATTGGCAAAGCTCACCAGTAAGCTGCTTGATGATGATTTGATAGGAAATCTTACCCTTATAGATGAGCAGGTTTACAAGCTTCAATGGTCGAAATTGGTGGGAACCGACTTGATTTTTGACGAGTATGGAGAACTTGTTTCCAAGAACACAGAGCATTTAAGCTGGTGTTCCAACACCAAAATCGTTGAAAAGAAAATCGAGGAAGAGAGGGTCAAGGTGGGAGGTGGTGCTAACGACACCCATTTCTACAAACAAATGATCAATCAGTTGGAAAAGGGAAGCCGAGCCGATGCTACGGGGGAAATTTTGTCAACGGATCGCACCGAAGTTCAAGGTAATGGCCAAGATACTTAGGATGAGTGCTGATTAATGACGGGTGAGACGCTAATGGAAACTGATACCGGGGCTTATCTGCAACGTTGTGTATTGTATGAAGACCCCCTTCGGTTAATGGCGGTTAGTAGATAGCTATAGTTTCTGACGTCACGAGGATCGGAGGGAATCATCAGGTCAGCCCCGTTTCGCGCAGGGACCGTGCGCGGCCTCGGCTTCTGGCACCAGCATCGGCACCAGAATCACCATAGATCCTGATACTGGTATCACCACGGATCATGACCCTTGTTGTAGACATCTATATATGGTCCTGTTCGGAAATCCAACGGTCTTTTATATCCCTTCGGCTACAATCAGTTACAAATAAACTTTAACCATTCAAAATGTAGTCATTCAACGCACGCTCGGTTATTAAATTATTCGCAGCTGCAAAAAAACCATTTACGAGGCTAAGCACGATTAGATTACAACTCGGTAAGTCATTCCGCGGGAACGGAAATGCATGAGCCCGTAGAAGTATATATATAGGGATCCAATCTCCCGTCGATGTCCCAGGCTATAATGAGCTACATTTATACTCCGTCAATCACAAATATCACCATGAGCTTGGGCTCATCAACTCCCAGAATCCCTCCCCATACTGACGCACTTATCCAGGAAGCCTTTAATAGGTCTACATCGTGCTTAGAGCTTGCACAGGACGTGGTGCCCAATGGTCCTCCTGCACCACGGGAAATTGTGGCCCATTTGAAGCTTTTGCGGTGCTTTGCAGAGCTAAAGAAGAGAATCATAGCCTCCGACGACAATGAACATTTGTGGAAAACGTACGTGACAATGGCTGCAAGACGGTTTTTGGTGTTCATGAATGCAATCAAAGGCATTTCTACTTCAGCACTTTCCGAAACTTTGGACCGAATGCTGCCACCTATTGACGTGATCATGGTGTGGCATTCTTTCATGTTGAAAACACTTTCTTTCACCAACCACTGCAAAAGAAACCAATTGCAGGGATTTTTCAATTACTCATTCCCATTAAAGGCAATCACTGACCTTATAAATGATTCCACTTTTGTCTTTGTTCCAACAGCACAGTTGCAGGCCAACTTCGAATCGTTTATGCAAGATACCGGCTCTTTTGTATACGATTCTTACCAGATGTTTGATGCTTCAATGGTCTTGATGATCCATTGTCCTGTTTGTGCTCAAGACCTTGTTACCATACCATTGATAGACTTTGCAGACTCTCGGTTCCAAGTATCGGAATTTGAAAACTGCAACTGTGGGTTCCAGAACCTGATGTCTCACGATGAGTTGAACAAACGCATCTTCTGGAAAGATGTCATGGACTTCTGGTACCCAGTCACTTCGGAGTACCAAGAGTCTCGGATTCGGTTGGAATTGGTAAAGAATACCTTTATGAACTTGGTGTCCAAGACTTTTGAACAGTTTATCGATGAGTTGGGTAGTTCCATTTCCTTGAAGTCGTTCACTCAAATGAGATCATATATGGGGATAAACCCCATTAACTTGACGATTCCTGGTAATGCATTCCACTTACAAGATGATTTGGTGGAGTGTGTTGCTAGCCAGGGTAAGTTCATTACTAGTATGGAGCAGTCAAACTGGATCTACTCTCAATTGCTTGAAGACATCATTGAAGATGGAATTGAACGATACAAGAACTTTGTGTTGGTGTTCAAAGATGCTACCTTTACGGTAGTTCCTACTTTGGACATTGAGTTAGTCTGGAATACCCATCAATTGAACCAATCGGGGTATCAGGCTTATACCCAAGAAGCTTGTGGAAAAGTATTGAGACACAACGACCAGATTGAAGAACTGAAGCTAATTGCCGGATTCACAGAAACTTGTCGAAAATACAAAGAGCTATTCAACCAAGAATACTCCATTTGTTTCTGTGGACCATGCAGCTACCGAAGGATAAGATCAAGAAGCTTATTTTCCCACAAAGCCAAAAGCGGACAGACTCTTTTCAAGGCCAACAGTGTTCACCACCTTTCCACCTGTCAAAAAACTGAGTCCCATTTGCGATTCTTTTACAAACAAAGCGAACATTATGTTCCTTGGGAGGAGAAGCACATACAAAATTATGTTACTTCTTCATTAGTTCCCATTTACGAGGGTATTGAGACTGGTTCTCTTTTTCAATTCCATGGCTGAGTCCATCGGATATACCTGTATTTCTGAAACGGCTTCCATGCTGGCTGTGGGAGAATATATTAAAACAATATAGAAATGATCAATGTACTGAATATTCTCACTAAATTTCGCAGTTGCACAATCCATGAGCGTATTAGACCTAAGCAATTATCTGATAGTATTGGGCAGTTCGAGTGCCCGGAGACTCTCGATTCTCCAAGAGGTTCTCAAGATTACAAAGGTGACAGTGGTGAAGCCCGATTTTGAGGAAAATCTCCCGAAATCCATGTCTCCTAAACAGTATGTCCAACAGACCTCTCATCACAAACTACTTTCTATCTTGGACGCCAACACGTTTGAGTCTCCTACAATCGTCATCTGCTGTGATACCATAGTTGACTGTAATGGCCAGATCCTCGAAAAACCCCAGACGAAGGTGGTTCAACGTCAAATGTTAAATAGCTACCGGCTCCACAATGCGATCAATGTGATTTCATCAGTACATGTGGCAATTGTGCACGGAAAAGACATCCATGTCGCTGGAGATGAGGTTTGTACGACCTTGAACTTCGATTCGAGCACTCCTCAAGAAGTGATTGAGGCATACATCGAAAGTGAAGAAGGGTTGGAGGTGGCTGGAGGATTTAAGTTCCAGGAAGCGGGAAACGTTCTTTTCCTGTCACTTAAAGGCGATTACTTCAACGTGGTGGGTCTCCCCGCCAAGCGGACGTTCGATCTAGTTCGCCAGTTACTTGGACATGTGTAAGTTATAAGACCTTAGCAGCAGGCTTGTCGTCCTGCACACGCCTGCGAAATTGTACAAAAGTCTGAGTGCGAGATGAGATGAAAAATATTCAAGATGGCTCAGAAAGCTGGTAGCAAGTACCAGGTCAAGCCCGTCAAAAGGACAGAGATCGAAGAATTGTCAGCCAACAAAGATGAGATAGAGGTGGCCTCAAGCTCTAGCTCCGAGAGCGACATCAACGCCGAAAGTGATGTTGAATTAAGTGAAGACAGCGAATCTGACTCAGAAGACGAGCAAGACCAAATAAAAGGATTGGAAGACAACCGCAAGCATGTTATAATAAAGCCCGCCAGAATAATAGACACCAGCAAGAGCAAGGGTAAGAAGGGAGTCATATACTTGGGCAGAATCCCTGACGGGTTCTACGAGGCAGAAATGGAAAAATACTTCAAGCAGTTTGGAGAAATAACCAGAGTGAAGTTATCCAGAAACAAGAAAACCGGAAAGTCCAAGCATTATGGGTTTATTGAGTTCACCAGCGTCCAAGTAGCCAAGGTTGCCAGTGAAGCCATGAATAATTATCTTTTATATGGCCACTTGATCAAATGTTATGTGGTGGACAACCCCAGTGATTTGATGTTCAGCCAGTCCAAGTTTAAGATCATTCCTTGGAGAAGTGTTAGCAAGCATCGTAACGACAAGCCCAAAAGCCAGCAACATTGGGATAAGTTAAGTAAGAAATTTGAGTCCAACCAACAAAAGAGAAAGTCGGGGTTGCAACAAAAGGGCATTGATTTGGGTTACTTAGATTAGGAGAGTAGTAGTGTAAATGCAAATATTATCAGAAGCTCAACCCCATTTATCGCAACATGTGAATGGGAGGAACCTGAGAACGGGAAGAACCTGAAAATGGCAGAAACATGAATGGTGGGTGTATGGGTCAGAATGGCTTTTACTATTGGTATGATTTGACAGTGGTTGGTGGTTGTAAAGTAAGTAATCATGTAATACCAACTGTTTGTGGATATTGCACCCGGACTGGCAACCTGGTGGATGGTTCGTTTTCCTGATCGAGCTATGATTTCCTCACTGGTGGTCGCGCCACGACTGATTATATTTAAAACCAAATTGATTGGAAGTAACTTCACATGTTCCTATAAGAATATCTTTCGATCTTCAACAGGCACAAAAAAAACATCCAACTATCTAAGTTATACGTATCACAGCATGTCCGAAGAAGAAGTTTTGAAGATCTACACTATTGACGAGGTTGCAGAACACAAGAGTGCCGATGACTTGTGGATGGTCTACAACGGGTTGGTATACGATTGTTCATCATTTCTTGATGAACATCCAGGAGGAGAAGAGGTGGTGTTGGACGTGGCAGGAACGGATGCCACCGAGGAGTTTGATGACATTGGCCACTCCGACGACGCTCATGAGATCTTAAAAGGGTTATTGATTGGGAAGTTGGAAGGTGGTGTGGTAAAGGAAATCAAGTCACAGTTGGATTTCGAAGAAGGAGGAAGCAACCTTCCTGTTTTGGCGGCGGTGGCCGTGGTGGTTGCCGTGGGTGCCTACTTTGTGTTTGTGAAGTAATCACTGCGTTAGAAAGGGGTTTAATTCAATATACATTATACAATTAGGGTTGGACGATGAGGTGGACGCACTTTGTGTTTTTTTTTTGGGCTTTACCAACAAATAGTGATCTGAATCACCAGAGGTGATGGGTGGGTGTATGGATTATGGTGATGGTAACAAGTGGTTTCCAATACCGCGATCGAACTTGTAGATGGTATTTACGTGTTTGTAGTAGAGGTGGTGTTTGGGCAGTAGTCGCAGGTCGCATGCATCAAAAGGTACATAAATCCGTGGACGGATGGATGGCCCCAACACCCAGCGTCATCATATCTGTGCGGGTTTGTGGATATTGCCACTGCGGTGAAAAGGTCTCAGGCTCAAACACTTTTTTGTACCGGGATAAATGGGACTCACTACCACTAGATGAAATCCCTGCATCAATTCATCAGCACCTTCTCAGTGAAATATCCTATTATTCAGGCCCCAATGGCGGGTGTTAGCACCCCTAAGATGGCGGCAGCGGTGGCAGCGTCGGGAGGTTTGGGGTCGCTAGCATTTGGTCCATTTCTCTCCAACTCGAGCAAGCTTGACAGCGAAATGTCTGAATTCCAAGCTCTTACTCAATCCACAAATACAAATATCAACTTCTTCAGTCACGATATCAACAACAACTTGACCGACCACCAGGTGTCAAACTGGTACAAACTTTATGATAACGACACAGCAGGAATTAAGTTGAAAAATGGTGGAATCTCGTTCAAGCAGTTTGAACAGCAATCCAGCTTTCGCCCGTTTTTGGACAAGTTGTTGTTATACAAGCCATCAATGGTGTCGTTTCACTTTGGATTGCCTTCTGCTGCCACACTTGAGGAGTTTCGGCAACACAAAATCCCGGTTTTTGCAACCGCAACCTCAGTTAAGGAAGTGCAAGAATTGTTGAAATCCAAGGTGGAAGGAATTGTGTTACAGGGTTATGAAGCGGGAGGTCATAGAGGTAACTTTATTGACTTTGAATTGGACGAGAATTTGTCTACATGGAGTTTATTTTCCAAGGTCAAAGCCCTTAATCCCGATTGTTTTGTGGTACCTGCGGGAGGAATTGTGTCGAGCTCTGATATCAAGTATTATTTGGATAACGGAGCAAGTGGAGTGCAATTGGGGACGGCTTTTGTGACAGCAGCCGAGTCATTGAATAATCTGTTCATTGGTAACAGCAGTAATCCCACTATTATGACGGACTTGGTGAGTGGAAGAAGTGCTAGATGCTTACGAACTCCGTTCATCGAGAAGTTGATCAAAAACAGTAAAGGGCTTGAGCTTCCTCCATTTCAGTATGGCTACCACGGATATAAGCAATGGAGGGGTACCAAGGGACCTGAATATGGGTTTTACTTGGTAGGACAGAACTATGATTTAGTGCAGCATGAGTTGCCTGTGGTTGAGATCATGAAGAACTTGACAAGGCAGTTGTGAAAAGTAATAGAAGATGTCATTAGCTATGTACAGAGTATTTAGGATTGCGATTCACATACACGTGAGCAGTACGCAATGCAGATATTTACAACTCACCAAGAATGCAGATATTACAACTCGACAAGAAGATATTTACAACACGACAGGAGAACAGCACTTAACATATACGCAACCCGCCCACCTCTTCGGTGCTGCTCTTCTCCACGATATCCACATCTTCAATCGTATGCACCACAATCTGCGAGTGGTCTTCGTTCAACTCAAAGATGAAAAATCCACTAATAACTCTCTCCATCTGGTTCTGTGCTTTCAGCAACCCTACCAAGCCAGCTGTCAAATGGGAAATCGTTTGTGAGATGGACTTTACTCTCAAATCATCGGGAGCAGTATTTAATTTGGGGAATTTCAGAGCATCCACTTTGGCCCAGCTATGAGAACCAAGCTTAGCATTGGCAGTAGAGACTATATTTGAAGAATTCTCCACCCCTGGAACCGTTCCTTCGAGGAGGTGTGGGCATCCCTCGTTACAGGTCGACCACCTAACCTGGATTTTGGTGGTGTGAGGGAAAACACATAGAAATTCGATATTTGATTCGCTGGGGCTCATTACTTTAATGGACTGGATGTGCAACTTAACCTTTGGGTTCAAAACGATCGAGGTGAGCACAAGCTGAAGGGTCTTCAAGGTGGTATAATACAGCACATGACCTTTGATATTGGGCAAGAAGTAGTTCAACTCGTCGAAATGAGTGGGACAAATACGTAATAGGATATCTGGGGATATGAGCTGTTTCGGAAGAGATTTCTTCAACATATTGGGGATCAAAATCTTGAGCTCTTCGATGGTCTTTCCAAGGTTAGCCTTTTTCTCTTGCTCCTGAGGGGAAATATTGTCGCTTAACACCACGGTCGACTGTTTGAACATGAGTTTGCTATTATAGGGTGGAGGGTACACAAGGCAAGGAACATGGGAACTGAACCCGGGGGACGATGAAGACGGGGATTTGGTGAGGTGGTGGTGTTTTGGTATCAGAAAGGACCCTATGTGATGCTTCACCGGTACCGAGAGGTGGTTAATTCGTGGCACACAGCGGATATTCATCAAGAGCTTTACTATTAATTTTAAAACCCGCGATAAACGACTGCAAAGGTATCGCAAAACCTACAAGCTCCACAAACCTACTAGAACTCACACCAATATTTATTTTACACTAAGCTACTTTTCACTCAAGTCCAAAGGAGTCAAACGCAAGTAAGGCTTGATGATTCTGAAGTTAGGGAATAATTCCTTGGCCTCTTCGTTGCTGATGGTCACAGGCACAATGGCATCATCACCTGGAATCCAGTTGATACCAGTAGCAACTCTGTGCTTGTCACCAGTTTGCAAAGCATCGACAACTCTCAACACTTCGGCACTGTTTCTACCAACCGAAGCTGGGTAGGTAATAATCAATCTCACCTTCTTCTTAGGGTCAATGATAAACACCGATCTGATGGTCAATTGCAATCCCTTGTTGTCGACGTTGGAAGCATCTTGAAAGTCGAGCATGTCGTACAAGGTGGCGACCTTTCTTTCTGGGTCAGCAATAATTGGGAAAGACAAGGTGGAACCAGTAACCTCATCGATATCCTTGATCCAGGCCTTGTGAGATTCGGTACCGTTGGCAGACAAACCAATCAACTTGACGTTTCTCTTTGTGAATTCGGGTTCCAACTTGGCGAAAGCCCCCAATTCGGTGGTACAAACAGGGGTAAAGTCATCTGGGTGAGAGAACAAAACCGCCCATGAGTCACCAATGTACTCGTGGAAAGAGATTTTGCCGTTGGAAGTTTCGGCTTGGAAATCTGGAGCAGTAGAACCTAAACGTAAAGGAGCCATTATCAGTGGGGGTATGATAAGGAAATTTGTGGCAAAGGATCTTTTAACATTTAAATAGTGCCCCATATTTTTTCAGAGCGCCGGCGAAAGATCATTCAATCTCACGTGACTTTGGTCAATAACTTGGTGACCTCACACCATATGGTAGTGGGGTGGGATGGTGTCAGTGGTGGTGGCAGTAATAGTGGCGGGCGGATAGTGGTGGTGGGGGAGGTGTGGGTATCAATGGCAGTTGACCTGAGGCCCGGTGGGTGGTGGTGGGTCGGCGTGGGTCGAGACGTCGCCGCAAGGGTCTCCCGCTGGTGCGACGGAACCGGCGCGGGCCTTTTCCGCGCCTTCACTCATTTCGCATCTTCACTCCATGACCCTCGCAAGACTCAAACACATCCAGTACGTCAAAAACGTCGATGACGCTACCAGCAGGCAGTCATTTGAGTACTGGCTCTCGGAGCATCTCCGATTGAATGGAATGTATTGGGGGGTGATGGCTCTTGTTGGCCTCAAATCTCTCGACACCTTACCCAAACCCCAGGTGATTGAATACGTTCTTTCATGTTATGATGCCAAATCCGGCGGGTTTGGTGCTTACCCCCAGCACGACGGGCACATTCTCTCGACGCTATCGGGACTACAGATTCTTTTGATTTACGACTCGCTCCACACCATTGACGACAAAAGAGCCCAAATCACCAAATTCATCAAGGATCTCCAACTCCCCGATGGGAGCTTTCAAGGCGACTCATACGGAGAGGTCGACACCCGGTTTGTGTACAACGCCGTCAGCTCGCTCTCGATTCTTGGTCAGTTGACTGAAGACGTTGTGGAAAGAGCATCTCAGTTTCTTGTCAGGTGCGAAAACTTTGATGGTTCTTATGGCATGGAGCCGGGCGCAGAGAGCCATGCGGCCCAGGTGTTCACGGTGGTGGGGGCGTTGGCCATCATGGATAAGTTGCACCTTGTGAAGCACGACAAGTTGGCGACATGGTTGAGTGAACGGCAGGTGAAGGAAGGAGGGTTCAATGGACGGCCTGAAAAGTTGCCTGATTCGTGCTACAGCTGGTGGGTGTTGAGTCCACTTACGATCTTGGGCCACCAGAACTGGGTGGACTTGGCACGTTTGGGTGATTTCATTTTGGGATGTCAGGACGAGGAAATAGGAGGGTTTAGTGACCGTAAAGACAACCAGACCGATATTTACCATACTTGTTTTGCCATAATGGGACTAAGTCTTGCCGACCATGAACTATATGATCTCGAGGCCATTGACCCGGTATACTGCATGCCTTACTCAGCTACTCAAAAGATTCAGAAGTGGCCGTATGCTGGACGTGAATGATTATCGAGAAGTTAAGGGGCCTCATATCGCCGGTTCGTCTAGCGATCATCTATGTAAGCATGTCATTCAGAAGTATATTGCAAATCTCAGGATACTGCAAATCGCATGTTACTGCAAATCTCATGATACTGCAAATCACATGAAGGTTGCACATCTCTTATATAATGTCGCCATATATTTTATTTTAAAGATAAATGTCGTTTGGCATCGCGCCTCCATAACAGATATTTTGCAGCTGTAGTCACGAACATACGCGGTTATCTCGCGATGATTCACTGATGTCGCAAGTCTGTCACTTGAAGATTGCTTCTATAAACAGGTGAGAATCCTTGTGTCGCTTACTTGAGTGACTTTTTACTTCCTATACCATAGAGCCTTTTAACCGGACTCATTCCATAACCTTTAGTATATTGCACATGCCATTTGCAGGCATTCGAATAGTTGATTTAATAAGCTTATTATGGTGTCAGTGCAATCTGGAATGGCCTCAGGAAGCAAAAGTCTATGTTCGTATAACATATGCCTGATTTGCCCTTCGATAGAACATTTACATTATTATGATACCATCTAATCCACCCGTATATGATGACTTACGTTATACATCCTGTAACAGTGTATATCATTGACGAACTGTTTTGCTCATACTCGCTGGGCCCATTGCGTGCAGGATACATCATACCCATGTTGCAGAGCCAAATGTCCGTCAAATGTCGCACTGATCTAAGGTTCATCCAATCGGGCACCTGCGGGATAACCTTTAAGGTTTTATGTGCGAATTAGAGGCGTACCTGTACGCGTAGTACGAACAGTTGCGCACAAACACCAGCACCCATGTTTTTAGTTGAAGAGGTTGTTCCAAAGGAGGTGCCCGTCAATGCAAAACGCAAGCGGACGCAAAACGCAAAACGCAAAATGCAAGCCAATATGCCCTGACCTCTGCAGTGATCAATGAAGTGGTTAATGCAGACGCGAAGTAGACGCCACACGCACACAAATTTTTTGAAGGATCTACTTGGCTTGCGCATCCTTGCGGGCTGGTCCCTTTTGACCCCCTTCACAGCGAAGTTAACAATTTAACTTTTGCTTGTGCTTGGTGGGGTACAGGTAAGAACTACCTTGGGTGTATGGATCAGAGTCTGTTGGATTTATACAGATGTTCATTCCATCGAGAAATACGAGACTTGTTAAGGGAGGATCTTCACCGGTTCAGCATTCCCTCCTGAAAAGGGGGTGATTCTACTGCAGTCGACAATCTGATCATCGCTCCCAAATATGCCTCGATTATTTCTTAGTTGAGATAAAATAGACGCAGAGCCAGTTACCTGTATATACCCCCGCGAATCTAGCGTGAGCCCGCTTTCAATAATAATTCTGTCGTAGGGCTACCCAGCATGATCGTTTATTGTTGACCCCTGCCATGCAGCTAAAAATGTTGGGTTTCATCAATTAGCCCCAATTGGTGATGGTTGACTAGGGATGACAACAGTAGTGAATTTGATTTTATCAAAGCCCTCACAATAGCAAGGCACATTCTTGTTATATTCGCTAGAAATAACCTTGGTTAATTAAGGTTGCGACAAGTGAGGGTTCAACCTAAAATAAAATTAAAAATTAAATAAATATATAGACGAAGATAATACATTGAATTCCAATGCGATACGTTAATTTATATATAATAAAATATCGTACATAACCCCATTATGCAAAAAAAATTTGACACACTACACACGGAACGGACCCTCTGCCGCCCCAAATATTGAACTGAAAAAAAAATAACCCCTTGCTTAATGAAAATCCCAACAATAGCTTGGATCCCAGTGCTATTATACAATGCCGTTAGATAATTGATTTGAAATAACCCCGCCCACTCAGTTCAAAATATAGTTAATTGAATGATGGGATTTCTTATTAATCTTGGGTGATGTGGATCCTGCCTGGATGGATGAGACCGACGATGTACGTGAGTGTAGTGATGACATGCTGCTGATAGATGACGACCGGGACTTGGCCATTTTGGTCGAGACGATTGCGGAGGTGGCCGTGGAAATAGTAGCAGAGTTCGCGGGGCCTTCGCTCTCAGTAGTCTTGCTGATAGACAGTATGATTCTTCTCCATCTGAATTGGCATGCATTGGGTGTCCTGTCATTGAAAAATGTCAGGATATCACGCCATCCCAACTTCTGGTTCTCTTTCAACTCTCTCAAAAGTTTGTCTTCTTTAGCTGTCCAGGTGGTTGACAGCTTGGACTTCTTTTCGTTGATATTATTATAATAGTAGAACGGGAGATGCAACGTGCCTGGCGAGCCAGCACCAGGCGATCCAGACCCATTGGCAAGGTAGTGGGGGGCCACAGGTCCACCAGCACCTGCCGTGGGTACTTGGCCATAGAAGCCTGATTGTGGTATTATCTGGCCCTGAGGAGGAAATTGGTTTAATTGACCTACTGCTGGTGGCTGGGGCACCTGGCTGTAGCTGTAGTATATGGGGTACTGGTATCCGAAAGGATATTGCAGTTGAGGAAATACACTCATGGTTGGAAGTCAAATAAAAAAACCAGGGGAGCATCGATTCCTTTATATATTTAAGGCGAGAAATAATTAAAAAAAAAATAAACTCTCTTAAAGGTACTGTAATGTCAAATGGCAAAAACAGAAATTATCAATCGATAGAGCCGGTGATAGCCCAAAGAATAAACTTCACCACACATTGATAATGCCGGGCTGAAACAGACAATAGGGGGAGAACTCATTCTTGAACTAAAACTCGTTTAAGGGGTTCTGTTCTCCAAGCGGTCTACTATTACCGAAATAAAAATAAATCTTAAAACAAATATTGGCGCACACAATGACTTGCGTCTTGTTCTATTAATTGTCGATGTTTAAAGACGGTTGCTTATCCATTATTAAATCATAATGCTCTATTGTTGAAATTGATGCTACCAAAAAATGCCGTTTGCATTGTCGTTCCAAACGCTGATAAAAGGTTAACAATCGCTATCACAATAGGTGGCTAATATCGAAATCTCCCGCATCGGCAACATGTGCATGATGGCCTCCCCGCGTATATGCAACCAATTATTTTAGAAATGACCTGTTTATTGTTATTTTGTTATACCTGGTAACAGGACGGCATATAAACCATTACTTAACCCTTGCGTAAATAGCCGGCTCTCTGTGTATGCATGCTGCAGATCATTGATGCGGCGCTCCCATCTTTTGTGTCCGGGTTTACCCAACATATCTCAAGTACCCACCGTTTCACATTTGATTTCGTAAATTCCATCGGTATGTTTTCATCTTTACCCTGAAAATTTGTGATTGTATATTGATATTCTTCCTATTATATTACTATTGCGGGTAATTTTAATATTGACATTTCGAATTGTAACGAATTTAACCTATTTGTGTCTGCTTATGCATTGTTATCATCATTGGTCTAGAACCGGTCTTTAGGCCTCCCTGAACTTTGAGAATTCTTTTTTGTGTGATTGACGTTAACTTTCAATTATTTTCTGAGAGTCCGGATCTCCCTGCTTAGTTTAGTAGCAGTTTATTCATATTTTTCGTCAAGTTTTTTGCCTTTCTATTTTGGTTAGCCTTTTATCGCCTATTTTGTAACAAATGGTCATTTTGACTTTTTTTATTCTTTTTATTTTCGCCTTAGACTGTATTTTATTTTCCCTTCATACTCCCAGAGATCCAAACTTCTTAGCCCAATCTTCATATTTACTTAGACTCTCGTACAGAACACTTGGCTTTATAAACTTTAAGCTGTTGCGAAAGTCATCCATGTTCATGGGTCGGATCTCCTCGGTAGGTGTCAGCAAGAGCAATTCTCCAAGCGACCGTAAAGGCCCCATCGCACTATCCTTGCATAAAGCTGTGATGTCGCTTCCGCTAAATTGAGCGGTCAATTTAATAATCTCTTGAAAATCTGCGTCTTCGAGAGTGTGTTTTTGGTACTTGAGAAGCCTTTTCACTTGATTCGCCCGAGTTTCATCTTCGGGTAACGGGATGTACTGTCTCTTGACGAACCTTCTTCGTGCTGCCTCGTCAATTGACCACGGCATGTTGGTGGCCCCGAGGATCAAAACCTGATGTTTGAGCTCATTGGCATCGTCCTCCTTGGTGGTGGAACTGCTCAATTCACTCCATTGGATCAAAAACTCGTTTTTGATTCGGCGGGTGGACTCGAGCTCTCCTTCGTTTCTGGACCCAAGCAACGAGTCGATTTCGTCGATAAACACAATAGATGGTGATAATCTTTTGGCGAGAACAAACAACGCCCTGACCAATTTTTCACTTTCTCCCAAGTACTTGGACGTAATGGACGAGGCGGTGATGGAGAAGAATGTTGACTTACTCTCAGTGGCCACCGCCCGTGCCAACATCGTTTTACCGGTCCCAGGAGGCCCAAAAAGTAGCATACCTCGAGTAGGTTCTCTCAAGCCCTTGAACAAATCCGGCCGCAAAAACGGATACACCACTGCTTCTTTCAACGAGTTCTTTGCGTTGTCCAACCCGACAATGTCTTCCCAGTACACTTCGTCTCCGTGCACCACAATGTCGTTAAGAATCAGCTTGGCTGCATCCACATCGATACCTCTGACCAGCTCAATCACCTTATTCTGCACCTTTGGGTTTAGGAGATCTCGCATGTCAAAGTCCTCATTTTCATCCGACTCACTCGACTCATCACTGGCTTGCTTTTTTGCAGGCACCGGTGTAGACGTGGGCGTTGGTGACTCGGCCCGAGTGCTCTTCTTTGAGGAAGAAACGTAGTTGTAAGTAATATTCGACTTCTTTATTGGGGCAGGCCCCAATCTAGCAGGGGCTGTTGCCTTTGGTTTGGTACTAGTAGCGGCCTTCTTCGGTGATGTAGATGACGTCAGGGGGGTTTGAGGCTTCTTCATAAGCCGACTAATGTTCATCGGCTTGGGCTTATTGTAGATATACTTCTTTTCTGAAGATGCTGGGACTTGAGACTTGGTCGATGTTTTGGAGCCGGCGCCACTGGGGACATCTCCATTGCCATGGGGACGTATATCTGGTGTGCTTTTGCTCTGGGGCTTCTCTGGTCGTAACGGTTGCAAGTTCATGATCGAGTTGTTGGGAGATGAATTCGAGTTGCTGCTCATGCTGGAATGGCGAGATTTGGGCTTGAGGCTCAAATTCTCCATTGAATGGCTGAGCTGGAAGTAGTCACCGTCCAAGTCGATTAAATTCGGCGGCGTGTGGGCGTCTTCGTCGCTGATTTTGTCCCACCCCACCGCGAGGTCCTGGTCAAAGTCGTCAAACGCTTCGTCGTCGTCCCCGGTGTCCACCACGGTTATAGAAGGCTTCTGCCACGACACATTGGCGGCCGTGTTGGCTTGATGCTGGTTATGCTTTGACTTTAATGAGCTCTGCTGAGGTTGCTGTCTCAACGACTTGAGCATCTTCTTTTTTTGCACGTTGCCATTGCTTAGGTTTCTCATACCTCCCGACCCCAGGCGCAACGATGGAACCGTCATGTTGGATTTACCGGAGGTAGAACTGGCCACGGAGGTGGTGGAAGCAGATTTGAGTTGTCTCCTATTTAATTCGTCCATTCTCAATTGTACACGGATAAGATGCTTGACGTTCTGGTCCCGGATGGAACGCAACTCATTGAACACATCGAGCTCTTCCTGGCCCATTTTTGTGATGCTTTTCTCGAATAGTTCGAGCTTGAACAAAAGTGACGTATGTAGTGATTTCCAGCCTTTTAAAGCATCTTCCACCCGATTATCTTCTTCTAGGGTCAAGTTCTTGATGCTGAGGTTACAGCAGTCGGCGTATGTCTGCCTGAGCTCCTCTTGCACCGTTAGCTGCGGCGGTCTTTTCCGTTGAAACATGGGTGTAGAATATGTCACTTGCTCACCGGGGTTTTTCTTATCATCTTTTTTAGCGCGTAAGGCTGTATGAAATTTGCAGGAGGTGAGATGCAAATCAGTGTACACAGACATAGTAAAAGGATCAGGGACAATTGTAAGTAAACAAAAGGACAAACATATGTACACAATGGGCTAGAGTGCTTTGTCTGCGAAAATGCTATGCCTTTAATAAACTATGTTTTGAGACTAGAAGCTGGATACTTTTCTGGTCCTCGAAAATGCAATTGCCCAAGAGCAAGCTCATCACTTTTGGTGAGAGGGTGGAAACATACAATGTCTTTGTGTGTTATACATTCCATTGGCACCTGACAAATGGCAGCTCTTCAACCTTAGAGATGACCCTTGAGGAAGGAGCTTGCAGTGCAAACCTCGATAATTACAAGCTCTTGAACATTGGCTGAGTATAGGCCGCAACTAGGCCTATTGAAGTTGGCGACGTATTTTCTGCTCATTTCAAGCGCCTCACCGTCTAAATACAATTGTGCGCAATATCGAAATTTGCTGATACAGAATGAAAATACATAATTGCCTTGGATTTAGATGGCTAAGCTAGAAAATTGAGGTTCTTGTTATAGAAATTGAATATTTTGATCAGCAGCAACATTGGCTGGAATGAAGAGAAAATCAGTGTCATAAAAGGACTCAAATTAAGATAAATGAAAACAATCCAAGAACAACCATTATCCATGATTTTGAGATGCTAGAAGCTCCAGAGTTACTGGATCCAGCACTGGGGACGACTGGGGTAGCCGACACAGTTTCAGCAGCAATGGTTTCTGTGGCGGCACCGGTAGCGGCGATGCTTTCTCTGCTGGTAGCGGCAATGCTTTCTCTGCTGGTAGCAGCAACGATTTCACCAGCAACCGTGCCAATACTTCCACCAGCACTTTCACCATCACTTCCACCAATAGTAATAGTGTCAATGATGGTAGTATAAACTTTACCAGCAGAGTTTTTAGTGACGCTAACTGCGCAGGGAACCGTTACAGTCACACTGTCGATTTCTGTTACAATCGTCGTCAGGTATCCCTTGCACACGTCACATTCTCCCAAGGTATGGGTGAAGGTAACAGTTTCCCCAGCCGTGTTTGTCGTAACTTCCACATCACAAGGAATTGTTACAGTAACGCTGTCAATTTCAGTGACCACTGTAGTCTGGTAATGGGAACATACTGGACAAGCCTCAGTCACGGTAACAGCTTGTGAGTTGGTAACTGTTATACAATCTTTAACACAGATGGTAGAAACAGTGGCTTCGTTAAGAATTGAAGATTCGGTTATAATGTTACCTTCAGGGTCGAGAGAAACGATGACATCAACTTCTCCTGTAATTACAGCACCATTTGATTCAGTGCTCGTGAAACCAATGGTGTACTCGGTGCATTCAGGACAGGAAGATAAGTAACTTGAAGAACTAGATGCCTCGGAAGAGCTGGCTTTGCTGGAAGAAGATGTTTCGCTGGAAGAAGATGTTTGGCTGGACGAAGATGCCTCACTAGAACTGGATGCCTCACTAGAACTAGATGCC